TGCAGACAATTGAATTGAGTACATTCAATAGGGCTTAAACTGCAGACAATTGAATTGAGTACATTCAATAGGGCTTAAACTTGGTATGAAGGCTGTTGCCTTGACTTGAATCAGAAGCAAAGGAGAAACTCTACAATGTATGGCTTGTAGGACTTCCTGACCTTGTTCTGTACACAGCTTGACTTTTTTTATCTTCAAGATTACTTATCTTGGTTCTTTATTTGTCTGCCCATGGAAATACAGGATGCAAGAGAAATAAAAGAAGTGTTGTTTTGTCAGAGACAAGTTGCAAGTGAGAGGTAATTTCTGAGCAAGAAACACAGTCTTGATGCTGTAACATTGTTCCAGTGGAAATACCTTGAAACCATGGATTTCGCTCTTTTGAGCAGCTCATAAATTCAGGACCATGTTCTTTCTGGCCTCTGGTGCCCTTTTGTCTCTTATCCGACCAATTGCAACAGCCCTTAATTAGCTTGGAAAGTTGCCAATGCCTTTTCTATTAGTCCAAATGTTTCGTTACTGCAGAAAATAAGATTCCTGTTTCTGCAGTGACTTTTGTCCCCTTAGTTTTCAGTAATCCAAAGGATGGATTTAATAAAATAGGGCTGCCTATATTAAGAAAATCCAAATCACAGGGAACAAAGTCATAATCCAATTTTCTACCTGGTACACGTGCTGTTTTAGATTTCATATCTCTCCCTCAAGAACGGCCATAGAGGATGACTCAGAAAAATCCATACATGCTTTGTGTTTAGCAGAATGCTTTTACACTTGGAAAAAGTTGTGAGGTCTTTACAAAAGCTCTTTCCTTACTTACACAGTTACACTTTGTATCAGAAGTCAAATTTCCTGGTAACCTCAACGTTCTCCTTTGAATGTACAAAAGTGTTTCTCACTCCGGCCCAGGTTTTAAACGGTTTTGTGATGATCCTTCCAACACTGAGTCATCATGAGATTTATAGGGCTCCTCCTCCACATGAATTCATGTGACTTATTAAACTCACATTAACCAAGGTCTGAGTTTGAAGACCAGAATTAAAACAGGAAATTTCAGTCTGCAATGCAAAGAATGTATTCTGGCACTAAACTAAAGGTTACATGCCAACAGGATTCAAGTACATTTAGGGGATCGCAGACTGGAGAACCTTGATTGGATATTCAACTTGGAGGACTGATCAAGGATAGGTAAGAATAGTAAAATATACACATTTATCTTTGGAGAGTATGCAGTGCCCTGCATGCCTTCTCAAATGTTTGCTGACAGTCCTGAGAACCAGAAACAAAAGACAAGGAAAGATTTAAAATACAAGTATCAGGCACAGATCTATACAATTTATCCATGGATGCAAAGGTGGTATTCAGCAGATTCTGACCAGTTCTGAAGAACTGGTAGTGGAAATTTTGAGTAGTTCGGAGAACCGGCAAATACCACCTCTGACTGACCTGGCCCCCATCTATTCTCTGCCTCCCGAATTCCAGCTGATTGGCTGGGTCTTCTTTTGTTGCCCTGCACAGGAGAACAGAGTTGGAAAGCAGGTTAGTGGGGTGGGGAGGGAATGGAGATTTTGCAGTATCCTTCCCCTGGAGTGGGGTGGGAATGAAGATTTGATAGTATCCTTCCCCTGCCATGACCACCAAGCCATGCCCACCAAGTCACGCCCACCAAGCCATGCCCACAGAACCGGTAGTAAAAAAATTTGAATCCCACCACTGCATAGATGTATATTATTGAGGTTTCCTTCCCAGCAGAATGGATTCTCACAAGAAATCAGATAATCAAATATATATTTTGGAGAGTTGGAGAGAAAAAACTGTTTACCTCTTCGCAATCAATTCAGCTCCATTCTGAAAAGTAAAAGGTTCATAAATCTCCCAAGGCTAACAACAGTGGAGTTCAACTGCAGCTTTGAGCAGAGGCCTTAGTACAGGGGTGTCAAACTTGCATCATCATGGTATCGTCACATGACGTATCGAGACTTTTTTCCCCCTTCGCTAAACTGGGTGTGGGCATGGCCAGCATATGACGCATCTGGCCCATGGGCTGCAAGTTTGATATCCCTGCCTTAGAAGATGGGTTGTAGGAGTTAAGTAGTATGAGTTGCTCAACCAAAGGGGAAATTTATTAAGCATCCAACCAAATCCAAGAAAATCTCCAACAATCCAACACCATCCAAGGAAATCTCTTTTCTTTCTGTAGGGCAAACAAAGGCAAACACTACTCTGATCTCTAGAAACCCAACCCTCCTCATGCTGGTTTTTGACCATAATAAAGATTTGATTAATTGACCATAAACGTCCTCATGTTTGTTTGGGTTAGAAAAAGATTCTTTTTTTTCCCTGATGCCCCTCTAATGTATGCTTATTGTACTTCAGCAAGAGTTAGATCTGAAATCTAGGCATTAAATGACCTGTGAATATTTCGTAGCAGCAGGCTCTTCCTGTGCATGCAAATTGGTCCATTTTGCATTGAGTCAGTGTCATGCCTTTAATTAGCATATTCTGTATATTCCAAGCTATAGCCACATTCCCCTCACCAGATGTTCCTCTGCACTCACCCTTCATCATTTATAATTATAGCCCCACAGTCACAAATGTCCCTACTTTATTGTGCAGATTTGCATTTGTATTAATTATGTGCATTATATATTGTATGCCATTTGGCCATTCCTGCCTTATCCAGTAATAGTGTTTTCCCTGCTGTCCCTCTTCGATGGATACCATGTCATCATGGAAGCTGCTATCTGTTCAGAGGTAGGTTGATTGCAAGTGACTAAAGCATGAAGACTGAAGTTTCCTCAATGGGAATCAATGAAAAGGGGATCGTGAAAAGTGAGGGTCTCTCTCAGATTCCTTTCAGTGAGATCTCTCGCTCAGATGGTACTGCTCCAACTCAGAGGTTAGCTTGGAGAGAGAGACAGAAAAAACATCTTTGCAATTAACAAAGTGAAAAGGGGGGGGGGCATTGTCCATTTGGAGTTAGCAGGAAATTAGCTTGCAGAGCTATAAAGAAAGAGTGGCATTAATTGCAGTTTTGCCATCTCTCCGATTTAAGTAATTCACTTTTTCCTTAGAGATATAGGTGAGTCTGTATTGTTCTCTATCCTCTTGTACATAAAGCAAATATTGATGTACATGCAAATGACACAAACTGATCTTATTTGCATGAAGCCATAACTCAAAATGAGATCCATTTGGTTTTAGTCTAATGTGCTATGTGGATTTGCAAACCTTGATTTATGGTTTAGCAGAAGCTGTAGTAGGTAGCTTGTTTGCCCAAGGGCAGGAGGGAAATATAGATATAATTCAGCTTCAGGCCCTGTGCAAGCCAGGTAATAAATAATACACACATATACACCATACCATGAACTGATAAGCTTTTCTGTAACAACTAGGAGAGCAGAGTGCAAAAAACAAGTGGAGCCTGCAACCATGTGGAACAGGACAATCATCTTCTCTCTTTTCTTTCTCTCCCCCATCTCTCCAAATAGTCCAGTTAGATGATGACTGTCGAAAATTCACACCATTTTTCCATTATTTTCAGATAGGAATATATGAAACCTAAAGCTTGAAACCTAAAGTAGGGATAATATTGTAAGAAAAGACAACCTTTCAAAAACTCACTTCCAAATGCAGAGGGGGAAAGAGGGGGGAAAAAACTTTTTAGTGGGGTTTTGGAGAGCTTGTGTATTTTTTTTTCCCTTGATGCTCTGCCTGGGTTCTTAACTCTAATTTTTGGCTTCTTAATATATTTTGCTGTTAATGGTTTTTCTGCATCTGTAATGGTTTCTTTCCATAACAAAATATCTATTTCTGAAATTCTAAGATCTTCCTTTTGTGGCAAGAAATTTGGGGATGGATTTGAGGTTTGGGGAGTTGAAATCTCTCTCTTGTCCCGTAAAAGCTATCAAAAGTAGGAACAATAGATTAGCTGGGGGAATTAATTATGTCCTGCCCATTCAGGATAAGCTCTGAGGGCTTCAAATAGGGTTGATGATGATGCATGTCCCTAGAAAATGTGAGTTGCGCATCCTTGATCTAGAAAGTTAGATCATCCTGCAATCTCACAGTGAGCACACTGAACAGCTATATGGGCGATCTTAATCTTCTGCTGATGTTCCCCATGGCTGGCTTTGACAAGCAGAACACTCAATATTGACATAAATATAGAGCCATAGAAAGCCTTTCTTCCAGAACTGCTATAAGGCCAACATCAAATTCTCTAATTAGATCTCTTTGGATGACTTCAAGCAGAACATGGATAAGATATTCGTCAAGGATGCTTTGATTTGGATTCTACACTGAACAGAAGGTTGGGATCAATGGCCTGAATCAGTATCTCTTAGGTTCTGCAAAAGTAGAATTCTATACAGTGCGTGCAGATATTGTGTGTCCAGAGGTGGGTTGCACTTTCGTTGACAAGGGTTTCGCTGGTTGTGAATGCGCAGATGCTGCTTTGTGGCTGCAATGCAGCCTCAAACAGGCAGCTAATTGACTCAGGCAGCTTCAGTGAGTATAGCAGGGCGGTGTGGAACTCATCTGGGCAACCTTGGCGAGGGGAAAGTTACTTATTTAGGGAAAGCATAGCACAAGGGTGGGTGGGCAGTCCCAGCCACAGATCACAGCTAGCGAACCTCGCCCATCATCCAGCAGCTCACCATTGTGCGTGTCATAAGTGTTTGTAAATACCTTCACCTTGGAGGCTTAGTCACTTCTGCACACAAAGAGCTGTGGAAATCTTCTGCAAAACAATTGAACACATTGCCCTGACTCTTGCTATGTTGCCTATGTGAGAAGAAGATTTCTCCACCATAAGCCATGGGTGGCACAGTGGTTAGAATGCAGTATCGCAAGCTAACTCTGCCCACTGCCAGCAATTCGATCCTGACCAGCTCAAGGTTGACTCAGTCTTCCATCCTTCCAAGCTCAGTAAAACGAAGACCCAGATTGTTGGGGGCAATGTGCTGACTTTGTAAACCATACAAAGAAGGCTGTAAAGCACCATGAAGCAGCATATAAATCTGAGTGATGTTGCTGCAACCCTTCAAACTGAAGTGGGGAAAAGGCTCAGTAATGTATCCAGCCATTTTTCTGCACTGGATATGTCTTCTGCTCAAGGCTTTGCCAAATGTGGGGTTGAAACTACGTTGTGGTTCCAGTGGGTTAAGAGAGTTGGCATTCTCTTGGGCCAGCAGATGGAAGTAGACATGCAGGTAGAAAACAGAAAATTGGCATCATATGCTTCTGTCATAACCTAACAGCCTTGTAACTTTCTTCTTCTGAAAAAAGAATAGCCTAGATTGCTCATTCTTGAAAAATTTAAGAAACACTGGTCTAATTATCCCTTCCAACACAATGATTTTTGAGAATATTAATTCCCCTCAGTAAAAAATGTTAAGTTGGCAATCTAGCAGTTCAAAAGCATGCAAAGCCAACAGATATAACATTCCTGTGGGAAGCTTACTGCGTTTCGCATTTTCACACTGGCTACATGATGACACAAATATCACTCAAACAATGCAGGCTCCCTCTGCTGTGAATCAGAGACGAGCCCTGCCACCTTGAGTCGGTCACAGCTGCATCAGGGAAACCTTTAAACCTTTTTTAAAAAATGTTAAGTATATTTTTACTTTTCTGTCCGTAAATGACTTTCATTAGCCATGTTGTTTTCTGATGGCCCATTGCAGATTTTAGGCCTCTTAAGAAGAAGCTCTGGTAAGGCACCACACATAGTGAGCTCTGCGAAGGTATAGGATGCCATGTCCAAATGTCTTTTGCAATCTGGACTGTAATTTCATCACCCTTTGGTTTTCTGAAGGGTCCTCAATTTTGTGGATGAGTAGCAGACACCCATCCCACCAAGGGGATTGCATGTGTTCAGCTGTGCCCAAGGGCCTCTAGAATTAATGGGACTCTGAACCAGATAATAGCTAACTTGCTGATACACTGTTCTTATTAACCATTCTGTGATTAACAGGGTCATTATTCCAGTCGAACTTTAGCCTTTTGCCTGGAGTTGAAAAAGAGGGATGGGACAAGAGGTTTTTTTTAAAAAAAAATCTATTATTCAGCATTCAACACTTTGGCACATTGCTGAAAAGAGATTTTTGAGGAGAAACTAACATGCTGTTGAGCAATAAAAGTTTAAGGATGTCTAAAAAGATATTGACATGGTTAAGCTTGTAGTAAGAAAAGATAATAATTGTGAGGTTCAGAAAGAGTCTGAGCCTACTGCAGGGATGATGAGTCTATGTTTAGTGATAAATTGCAAACTCCAGTTGAAACAGCAGGCTGACCAGCATCATAATAATTCAGTACAATTCATTCAATACATCCAAATGAAATATGCCTTGAACTTTCTTCATCAGCCATCTTAATTGTGGTTTTTGTCTATGTAAGAGTCCAACATTTATATTAAGCTTGTTAAGCTATGTTTAAAGACCAAACTGAACAGGATGCTGAAAGAGAGTAAGGAACAGATCTTCAAATCTTGATGCCTTTCTAACCAGGAACCAACAGACTATTGTTCTCTTTCCGTATCTAAAATTTATCCTGACAACAAATAATTGTGTCTAGAAACTGTTACTTAACGGCTCTTTCTTTGCCAGTTGTTGTCTACAATAATTGGAAGACAAGATTTGGTTGGGAAATTCATAGCCGTTTTCGTATGTGGAAAGCAAGGTGGTATACAATGATCAGGAGCTGTGCTGGCTGGAGAATTCTGGGAGTTGAAGTCCACAAGTCTTAAAGTTGCCAAGTTTGGAGACCTCTATTTTAAGCTCTCATTGAATTTCGTACAAGAGAAAAGCAAGATGGTGTTTATTCATTTACTTTACTGGCAGTTATATGGAATACTTTAGGCACACTCTAGCTAACATATAGAAGACAGATTCAAGATTCTAGAAGGTATTGCCTGGGGAAAATACCAGAATGAAACCAATAAGATAAATGTAAACTCAGGGAAGGGAAAGGACAGCTGTTCTTATGAAAATAAATAAATAAGTAATGACCATTTTTGGAAACAGCTTGTTCAATTGATGGACTTTGGTTGGACCTGATCAACAAAGCATGCACTGAATCCTCATTGGTAAATGTTTCTGCCTTTGCACACAATGGTTTGGGATAGAGGCAAACTGGTAATAATGGGGTGGGGGGAAGAGAACTTTGTCTTATGCTTTGATACAGACTTGGTTCAAGAATAACCCAGTATAAAAAAAGCTTTTTTATTTGATATGGGCAATCTTTGATTTATTGACACATTTTATATAGCACTTTTGTAATATCAAGCATTTTCATTTAATCATTTTAAAAAATTATTATTGATATAAAATATAAATGTGTAACCTAAGGGAGGACTTAACAAAAATAAAAGAATTAGAAGCAAAACCCAGTGACAATGATTAGGCATAATCCTAAAACTGCATGTAAATGTATGTATATAAAGTTCTTTGATTTTTCTAGTCTTTCTCCAAACACCTATGCCAAACATCTTTAATCATAAAATGTTCCTTTCTTTATTACTCAACCCAATTCTTTTCAAAGAATCTCTCAGGGCTATCTGTTAATTAAATAGGCTAGCTGCTTAGCTTTCATCCCAAATCTAAATTTCTTAACCCCCAAACCAACATTGCAGTTGTTACTCATTAACCCCTTTTATCCTGGAGAAAAGTCCTTATGACACAGAGAAGTATTCCATCATTTGGCTTCTTCTGAGCCTCCTGTCTTTCTAATTCTGCTCTTTGGTGAACATCTAAAAACTTCAACTTTTAAATTCCCCACACTCCTTTCTTTTTTAAGGGCTCTTTACTAGAGGACTTTCCGTTCTGCAAATCTTCCCTCTGAGGTTCAACAGAAGCCAAGTATAATGGTAAGAATATTTGTTTTAATGGTGGGAGAAACTACAGTTGGAATGATGAATGGGTTGGGTTGGGACGCCCAAGGAAAGATAACCTCATCTGGAATTATCTTGATGGCACTGAACCGACAGGGGAGAAGTGATGATTTTATAGTATTTGAAAAATGAGGTTTTTGTGTTATTTATCTTGCTTATTTTATTACCATTTCCAAAAGGAACCACCTCAGTGGCAGGTTCTGTAGAACACTACTTCATGGTACAGCATTCCCTGCCCAGAAGCAATGGCTCCATTGATTCCTCACCTGCTTAAAACATTTCCAGCATGGTTTATCTGAAGCCTTGGGCAATCACTCAGATTCAACATGGATCAGAATTCTTTTAATACTGGGGTACCAAGATCCCTCCCCTATGTAGAATATATATAGTTTGTGTGCCCCAAGCAAAACTAGTCCTTTGCATTATGTCTTTCTAAGAATGCATCTGAAAATATGTGGCTTTTATGTAATCTTTTCTTTGGAAGTATCCCCACTAATCAGTAAGGGAAAGAACCCATAAGTAAATTATTTTAAGGGTTTTTTCTCATGGGTAACAGAAGACAACTATTTTAAAGAAATGAATAAACTGAGGACTAGAAAACCTGGTGGGAAGCAAAAACACAATTCACCTTCTCATAACCTGCTGCAAATAGCTACCAAGTCTCCCATGGAAAATGTTTTCTGCCATTAGAATTCCAGTTCCCGTGGCACAAAAAAGCATTGGAATTTAAATATTTGTGAACTATGTTTGCTATGGATACAACAGCTCAGGGGTTAGGAATGTGTCCTGATTTTTTTTGTCCAAGGATTTCATGAATATAAGGATTCTCTTCAATCAAGTTTGACTTCTTCCGGGTACATGACATTTGCTCATGTCATTTTCTTGGCAGTAATACAGAAATGATTTGTCATTGCTTTCTTCCAATACAATTTCTTTAACTTCCTAATCTGGCCTATAGGTCTAGATTTCCTGGTGGTCTCCTGTTTAAATACAGTATTAAGCCTACATACATAGAGCAAACAGTTGTTGATCATGAGAGATTACAATTGGAACCTCCAACTTCCAAGACAAATGCTGAAATATCAATGGATTTTCATTTCACCAGAGGAACGCAATATCCTTTAAAGGGGCAGTTCAGATACTTGACCAAGAGTCATTAGTGTGCAGAAAGGTTCTGCTCCTAAACTCTTCAGACTCAGACAAAACACTATCCAATTTTTTTGTCATCTAAATGGATTGTTAGAGGATTTTTCACCCCTGATGTTCTGGCTCTGGTTTTTCAAATCCTTTTTTAAAGCTGGGAATGAACATTAGAGTAGCTATCAAGGGCCCGTCCTCCAGAAAGTAGGCTGGACCAAGACAGCAATTACACATATTAATTTGGCATTCACTTTTGTAAAAAGTCAGTAGGCAGTCGGACATTCCAATCTGCTGAGGATAGTCAAACAGTCCTGCAGATTCAACCCTGCCAAAATAGTCTGGGAACAGGTTATTTGTTCATCATGGAGATGCTGCAAGCATTTGAATTTAACCAAGCTTTTAAGATCAGCATCAGAGGCTAATTTGGTCTTTCTTTAAGGTCAGCTAGATCAATGTTTCTCAACCTCAGAAGATTTAAGATGAGTGGACTTTAACTCTCAGAATTCCCCAGCTAGCATTCTTTCATAATGCAGGGCCTACAGTCAACTGTTTCAAAAGTCATGTTTTTTTTTTTAAGTAGACTGTCTCAATACTTAATGTATTAGTTGGAAGAATTATATTTTAGAATCTGTGAATTATCTTACTGCACTTCATTTTGTTCATGTAGTTTACCATTTTGAGTGGAGTTGATCCAGTAAGGTAATCTACAAGCAAAGCAATCATCCATGTTTTTAAAAATGTCCTCCCAGAAGGGTACAGATAAAACTGGCAGTTTTCATGAAACCTTTCTACAATGAATTCTCAAATGGATGGGCTTCCACCATGTGTTTTTGGGCACTAGGCACACGGTGAAGGTGGAGTCAGATTCCAGAACTGGGCTAGAACATATGGTTCCTCTCCAGAAATGTATTTCCAGCCAACAACAGCTGATGAGATCAGAGAGGTAAGCAAGCAACATCCAGCCAGGTGTTCTGTTGTTTTGATGTTCTCTATGACTGATTGTTCTCTACCTGTTCTCTACCTTTTTTACTTGTTCTCTACTATTCCCTATATCACATTGTTCTCTTTATATAACAATATACTCTCTATTGTGCCAGCTGCACCTTATGGAAATTCTTAAACAGCCTAGAGAAAGTATTGGATTACATAAGAGTCATGGTGGCACAGTGGTTAGAACGCCGTATTGCATGCTAACTCTGCATTCCACTTCCAGGAGTTCAATCCTGACCAACTCAAAGTTGACTCAGCCTTCCATTCTTCTGAGGTTGGTAAAATGAGGACCCAGAGTTCTGGGGGCAATATGCTGACTCTGCAAACCGGTTAGCGAGGGCTGCAAAGCTCTATGAAGCAGTATAAAAGTCTAAGTGCTGTTGCTATTGCTACTCTAAATGTGCAAACGTGTGATTAACATCTTTGCAGATCTTGGCTCTGGCCAGGCAGAAAAGCAAGAAAGTGAAAGTGGTTGGTGGTGGACACTCCCCATCGGACATTGCCTGCACAGAGGATTTCATGATCCAGATGGGAAGGATGAATAAGATCCTTGAGGTAAAAGGGCTATGGCACTGGGTCAGGTTCATGATTCATCTCACTTGGCTTCAGAATCCCATAGGCTTCCTTTCTTTTATGAAAGAGGCTGCCAAACCAATAAGACTAAAGACTGCTAGGAATCGTGTAAAGAGCTCCTAAACCAGGAGTGTCAAACTCGTGTTGTCATGGTGTCGTCACATGATGTATCGTGACTTTTTTCCTCTTTGCTAAAGTGGGCGTAGGTGTGGCCAGTGCATGATGCAACCAGCCCACGGGTTGTGAGTTTGACAGCCCTGTCCTAGATGTTGGTAAAGGAGTGGAAAGTAGTTCTGGCTAGGTTCACATATGATGAATGAATGAATGGATGGATGAATGAATGAATGAATGAATGAATGAATGAATGAATGAATGAATGAATGCTTTATTGGCCAAGTGTGATTAGACACACAAGGAATTTGTCTTTGGTGCATATGCTCTCAGTGTACATAAAAAGAAAAGATACATTTGTCAAGAATCATAAGGTACAACACTTAATAATAGTCATAGGGTACAAATAAGCAATTAAATCATACTAGGAAACAGTCAATATATCTTGCCAAACCATACTTTGCTTTCATTAAGGCTGATCATCAAAGATCCAATAAGTTAAAATTGTCATATCACGTTAATCTATAAATCACATTTAAAGTTCACAGTGCTAAATCTGTATGGTTATTCAATGAGTTTTTGTGTTTCGACTTTGGCTCTGTATTTAAAACTCATGCTCATTTTGAAAATAATTATAAAGAAACAAGCACAGCAGCCCTTTATAACTTATTACAGGATGAATATTAAAAAAAAAAAACTTCTATGCAGGCTTGAAAAAGATGCTGCTGCTTTAGAATCAAATATTTAGTGCAATACTTGTGGGACGTCTGATGCATTTCTTCCAAATTATGCTTGGCCTGTGCACATACATGATAAGTCCTGATCGAATATTTCCCCCAGGACCGCTTCTTTGATTAACACGACAATATATTATCTCTTGCAGGTGGACAAAGAGAAGAAGCAAGTGACAGTAGAGGCAGGGATTTTGCTTTCTCATCTGAATGTAGAGCTGAACAAACATGGCTTAGCTCTACCGATGTAAGTAAACCTTCACTGAGACGGTAGGCATATTGCTCGCTGAAAAAAACAAAATGTTAAAAAGTTATGATATTTATGTAGTTACTTACTAAGCACATCTACATTATATCAAAGGAATCAAAATATCTTTACAATCCCCAAGGCATGTCACAACTTTTGAGTACCCATAATGTTTGGAAATTGAAAGTTGAAAAAATTGACACGCCCTATAAAACCCCCAGATAGTTGTGATGCATCTAAGGACAAATATTATCACTAGTCTATAAAATGTGGCCAGATGTGTGATGAAATTCTGAATGGCAAATTGAATCAAACCATTTTGGGAAGGGGAGAGGACCTTTTTTTAGAATGCTGTATCTAGTGAAGGTCTCTATGGCCAGGTTTCAACTCACCTAAATTAGTCAAATACATTACAAATTTGCTTCTATGGCGGCGCAGAATGATTTTAGCACAGGAGCTCAGGTGCAGTTAACTCCAAAGACCTTATAATTGCATACAGAGGGAATCCTTCACCCCTTTGCCCTTTTTCGGAGTGGCAAATGAATTCTTTTAAAGTGAAGTGGAAAACTAAATAAGCTTACAGGAGCATATGCAAATTCACTTGTGTGCAGTGACACATAGATGGAAAAAACTATCAGCATAGAAGGAGACTGACTTGTTTTTCCCCACAGCCAAGGTTATCCAAGAGTAATAACCAGTGCATGGACCTCCAGAACTGTTTCCCCCCCCCCCTCAAATGGGAAGTTCCTGGATTTTAGAGGAATCACAGAAGGATTCCTGGGGTGGAGGTAGTTCCCCTGCCAGTTGAGCTCACACAAGAATAAATTTTCAGTTTCACAAGGGTCAGAAATCCATGCACCCCTGATTACATATATTCTTGCCAGGATATACCGAATCCAAGGAATCACTCCAGGATCAAAATTACAAATCTGCATCCAACATCCCTTCATAGTCAGTGTTCCATTTCTATGGCTTGACAGGCTGTGTCGTATGTTCAAAACTCATTGGGGCATGTTTTGAAGTCAGAGCAGGTGCAGTTAACTAGGTTTTTTGTATCAGTGTCACATTGGTTAATATCATCGTCTCAACAGTTACCTTTGGAATGGATCGCGGCTAAATCTCTCCCTTTTCTGTGTTTCGGGATGCAGTTTAGGAGCTGTGTCGGATGTGGCAGCTGCTGGAGTCATTGGAACTGGCACTCACAACACTGGCTTCAGCCATGGCATCTTGGCCACTCAGGTAAGACCTTAGTGGGTTGTAACTAGCAGGGTGTAAACATTTCCTAGCCATTGTGTCATACGAGCAAGTTATTAGAATGCTAATTATGTCAGTTTTTATTCCCCAGTGGGAGAAAATAAATGAGAATAATGTAGAATTACATTGAAGTCCCTTTGTATGCAAGGCACCACAGCAGAGTAGTTATTCAAAAGGCAATTCCTGCCTAAAGTTCAGAAGCAAAGTACTTCTATATTACTGCCCCAAGTGCTGCAGACCATGAGGTCACTGATTTGAGTTGGAAGAGAGTTTTCCTTGCTCATTAGGTATCCGGCAAATAGTAACGTACTGATCACACAGTGTTCTTGCTCCCTCCACTCTCCTCACCTCTCACTCTAGATTACCTTGGAAGGAATTATTTATGCCCAGAACTTTTCCTTCATGTCCCAAAGCTGTGACAGACTTTCCTTAGACTTTGCTAACATACTTGGCAGTGATGGGATTCAAATTTTTTTACTACCGGTTCTGTGGGCATGGCATGGTGGGCATGGCAGGGGAAGGATACTGTAAAATCTCCAGTCAGAAGTGGTATTTGCTGGTTCTCAAAATGTCCACTACAGGTTCTCCAGAACTGGTCAGAACCTGCTGAATACCACCTCTAATGCTTGGTCTCTGATCAGACTATATTTGACTTCCAACTCAGAAATAGTGCAAGAATCTTCCCAAGCTGGCAACTCGTAAAGAGTAATTCATTTATTTTATTTTGTATTTATTTATTTGATTTGTCAATCGCTTGCAAGATAATAGGTATAAGTATAAACATGAGTAAGAATATAGTATGAATAAATGGGGACAATAGGACAGGGATGGTAGGCACGATTGTGCACTTATGCACATCCTTTACAGACCTTGTAGACTCACATGGAGATCTGATCCAAAAGTTGCGATGGTAGGGCGGAGGCAATTCTTTTAATGAATTTCTCCATCTTCATGCTTCCAAAAATAGAATGTATTTATTTATTATGGCCAACATAGCCAACAAATTTGTCCCAAGAGACATTGTTTTTACATTATTTCTTTTTTAAAATAATAGAAGAGGGGAAAGTCCCTATAAAGTTGGTAATATGACAAGAGGAAAGAAAATAAACCAGATGGTAGCTTGACAGATAGTAAGATTTTAAAAAGCTTTTTCTCGATTGAGGTGGTAGAAAATACATTAAAACAATAAGGCTTTTTAAAAGCCATTTGTCCTGCTTCTAAATGCTTGCAGTGAATGTTTGCATATCTAAATTGGCACAGAGCTGACATATTGTATGGCGTTTTGCAGATCTTCCCCCACATTAATCAAAATGAACCAATAACATACGGAAGAAGGCAGGCTCAACCAAGGACATTCATTTATTTATCTATCTATCTATCTATCTATCTATCTATCTATCTATCTATCTATCTATTTATTTATTTATTTATTTGATTTGTCAATTGTTTACAAGATAATAAGTATAAGTGTATACATAGTTATGAATACATGAAATGGGTACATATAAGAAAAATAAAAGAAAAATAAAAGAAACAATAGGACAGGGACGGTAGGCACGTTGGTGCGCTTATGCACGCCCCCTAGAGACCTCTTAGGAAAGGGGTGAGGTCAATAGTAGACAGTCTAAGGTTAAAGTTTTTGGGGTTTGGGGAAGAAACTACAGAGTCGGGTAGAGTATTCCAGACATTGACCACTCTGTTGCTGAAGTCGTATTTCCTGCAATCAAGTTTGGTGCGGTTAACCTTGAGTTTGTATCTATTGTGTGCTCTTGTGTTGTTATGGTTGAAGCTGAAGTATTCATTGACAGGTTGGACATTGCAATGTATGATTTTATATACTGCTTAAATCAGACATCTCAGTATTGTTTCTGTTGAAAAATAATAAAAACGAGTGAGGAGCAAAGGGGCTGCCTCTTGAACTCCAGGAGTCAATTGTCTGTGAGGTTTGAGAGCTCAGTTTAGTTATTTTTTCCCCTGGTTCAGCTGCCATTTATTTGCAGCTGAAGCAGAGATGGAATTTTCCTCAAACATGTTGTCCTAATGCCTGTTTTCTCCATGGCTCATCCCATCCCCTCTACTCAAATAGACCTTGCAACCCTGTGCTGTCCAGACAGTTTAGAGTTAATGGGATTTGGGATAGTTAGTTACGAATTGTGAGCCATTCCTTTAAGGGAACAGCTCACAATTCCTAACTAACTATCCCAAATCCCATTAACTCTAAACTGTCTGGACAGCACAAACCCTACATTTCAGCAATCTGTTCCTGAACTTATCTGCCCCTCTTCTCTACTTCAATCAAAGTAGCATCCTACAAACAGTGGTTATGGTAACTGAGAAAAATGCCTGGCATTGTGAGAGGGCCAGCATAATCACCAAAGCAGTTCACGGAGGCCATAAAGTGCAGCAAAGGAAAGAGAACTTAGGGGCTTCAAAGCAATTCCCGTTAGCCATTTATTCTGATTTTATAGGAGGCAAATGCTTATCACATGCTGCATTGACCATCTCATTGCTTAATGTCTTTTTTGAGTGGAATGTAGGCAATTTTTGTAACTCCAGGATCTCTAGTGGATCAGGGGAAGTGGTATGATCAAAATGCTGCTGCTGCTGGTGGTCTTTGTTTTTGCACTCTCGTACTGATCAGCTTTGGCCTGCTTTGGAGGGATTGGAGACAGATTGAAACAGTGGAAATTGCACCGACAAAATCACACTTGGCCAATAAAGAATTCTATTCTATTCTATTCTATTCTATTCTATTCTATTCTATTCTATTCTATTCTATTCTATTCTATATAAAAGTACCCTAAATGGGGGGGAGGCTTTATTCGCAAAGACAAAGGTGCTGTCCTAGGGGGTTGACTGACATTTTTATTTCCCATAAGTCTTTTGAGAATGGCACTACGAGAGGCCAAGCTTTGCCCTGTTCCCAGAGTTATGCCCTTTGAGGCGAGCAGACTCAGGAAACAAGAATGAGTTGGATGAGAAGCAACCTAGAACTAAGGAAAAAATTTCTTGACAGTGAGGACAATCGGCCAATGGAAAAGCTTGCCTTCAAAAGTGATGGGTGCTCCATCACTGGAGGCTTTTAAGAAGAGATTGGACAGACATTTTTCTGAAATGGGGTAAGGTCTCCTGCTTGAGCAGTGGGATTAGACTAGAAAACCTCCTAGAAGTCCTTCCAACTCTCTGATATTCTATGTTCTGTGAAGATCTTTATTGCAAGTGGAATGTAGCAAGATAAATCTTGAAAGCCTGCTAATCCAACTCAATTTATACCTAGCATGACTAGGGCACTCTTGAGTTTCTTTCTCAAATGTCCTCTCCTGGACTTGGGAAGCTTAACAAGGGTCCTGCTTCCTCCTGTGACAGATGCGCTCTCTTTACATTCCCAGGGTCTGTTAGCCATTTCATCATACCAAGGGATGTTTTAGAAATAAATAACCAGCCACAAAAGTAACGGAGCAATCAGAGTACCGGGGCCATTTCAGCAACCTTTTTTTCTCTCTTTCTCTCTGTATCTCTCACACAGACCAAATTTGAAGGCAAAAGCACAAGGTTTGGGGCTAGGGAATCACATGCAGTCTATGGGCAGTAATCTGCCTATTCTTTGCAAGGGAGCAAGTAAAATGCTTTATTAAATCAGTGCAAATGTTTGACGATATCAGTATGGCTGGCACTGATGGGCATCAATTTCCCAAAGTGTTCCAAATAAGTCTTGTCCCCTACATGACCCTGTTTTAGCTTGAGGTAGCTGGGATTGAGGCGGGGATGTTCTTCCATGCTATTTCATTGAAAATTGTCAAGGCCTTACCTTGCAATGGGGTGGTAGGAAAGAGAAAGAGAAAGTCTACTTTTGGGGGGGGGGGGGAGCAGAGATCCAGGTGGCACAGAGCAAATTAAATTCCACCATGAAGCAGCTACACTACGGGTCCTGCTTGGGGACATTTAAGGAGATGCATCCCCAGCATCTCAGTATCTGTTGTCCAGACCTTGTGAAATTGATTTGAATCAATCAGAAATCAAGTTGGGCTGGAAAACGTTATTTTCAAAGTCAAGAGGCAGGTTTGCTGAGCTATGGTCTACTTGAGTCCCTGTCCTAAGTAGGTTGTGCCTGTGCTGTTAAATTAGGGCAGCTGATGTAGATAAAAACATCATTCTCTGTCATAAAAATTCCCAATATCCTCCATCATGGTCAGTGAAAACTATTTTGCACCCTCATTGCCCCATGGGAGATTACTTGAGAGGCTAGTGCTAGGGAGGGAAGGACTTAATATCTACTCCCTATTTCTATAATGCTCATCCACTCTGCTAAAAAAAAAAAATCCACTCTAAAGCCCATGCAGTAAAGGAGAAAACGTGTCTCTAGATAGATGTGAGATGCATTGTGGAATCCTTTCCTGAAAAGGCAACCTCTGTTCACTTTGGCCTGCAGTTGTGGCAAGGGAGGAGGAAATATCAACCAAGATTATAAATATTTTACTGGATTATGAAGAATGTCATAATCCAGTAAAAGCAAATGAACCTATTATGGATTAGCAATAGCACTTAGAGTTATATACCACTTTACAGTGATTTACTGTCCTCTGTAATGGTTTACAGAGTCAGCATATTGCCCCCAACAGTTTGAGTCCTCATTTTATGCACCTCAGAAGGATGGAAGGATGAGTCAATCTTGAGCCTGGTGAGATTTGAACTGCCAAATTTCAGGCAGCCTGCAGTCAACAGAAGTAGCCTGCGGCACTGCACTCTAACCACTGCACCACCGTGGCTGTATTAAGGAATAGCTTTAATAGAGCCTCAGGTCTCAGGAAATGGCCTTCGTTTGGTCTCTTGTGCAGTGCCTGCCAAGCAAATGTATGTCCCCTGTTATTCCTTTGTATCTGGCCTGTCTTCTTGTCTAAGCAGATTTTATTATGGTTCTTATTATTATTGATTCTTTTCATTTAAAAAAACTGGGAAGGTAGCAGGCTGCAAAGCAAAATGTATCT